GGGGGGGGGGGGGGGGGGGGGGGGGGGGGGGGGGGGGGGGGGGGGGGGGGGGGGGGGGGGGGGGGGGGGGGGGGGGGGGGGGGGGGGGGGGGGGGGGGGGGGGGGGGGGGGGGGGGGGGGGGGGGGGGGGGGGGGGGGGGGGGGGGGGGGGGGGGGGGGGGGGGGGGGGGGGGGGGGGGGGGGGGGGGGGGGGGGGGGGGGGGGTTATTATACTTAGCGACCCTGAAAAGAAATGTTTTGACCCTTTTGACATATTTTAAATTTTGTTGCTTATTATTTTTCTTTTATTATTATACCCCATTTATTTGTATTTCTTTGTGTGTATCATATGTCCCTGTAAAACTTGTTTTGTTTGTTTGTTGAATAAATTACGTTTAATAAGAAATAGTTAATAGCAACTATTTGGTTACGGTCGGACTAAACAGAGCCCAACGTGAATAGTAAATATGCGCTCCTCCCACTCCGATTTTCACTGCTGCGCGACGGTAACCATGACCACCGCTGTAAACACTTTACAGATGTAAGAGCGAGCTACGCGGGACCCACGGATTTAGAGTTAATCAAAGGAATTTTGCAAGTCGATTTAAATTGACTGCACATTACAAATTTTAATGTGTTTTATAATGCTAATTTATTTCATTATTCAGATAACATTGTAAACTACATTTTTTTTACTATGAAAGTCTCCAAAGACTTCATCGCAATTTTAACAGATCTATCCTCAACTGGAATCTACTCTATACCTAGTTTACCCTACCTAGCTCTCAGAGAAACCAAAATTTTCCGCTATCATTCGCAGTCAACGTTTCTCTCTCTCTCTCTCTCTGGTGATATAATTAAGTAGCTACAGGTTTTTTTTACAATCGCGAATTGTCGAGGTGCAGAAGGTTGTAGACCCACTGAAATGGGAGCCTACCTCTAAACGGATAGTTATGTAAGCCGGACTAGCGAATATTTGAGATAATTAATCCAAAAGCTGACGGAATTGTTTTCCTCGGACGGTTCTGCAAATCATCTGGTTTTAAAAATAAAACTCGCCTCGGGAGGTTTGGTAAACTCGGAAGACCTTGGAGCTGGCTTTGTATATTAAAAGTCAATAAACTAAATTTTTAGTACGCTGGACGTTCATTTTATAACAGATCCGAGGACCGATCTGGAGAGACGAGCGAATGGGGCGCAGAAACCGGAATTTTTTGTTTTGGCTATAAATTTTGGGATTATAACAAACGTAACCATAGAGGGAAGTATGTACGCTGTTCATGTGTCTGTGTTTATGACACCATGGACCACAGACACGCTTGAATGAGAGAGTTCCATCTTGGAACAACTTTGTGAACCTCTCCTACAGGATGTTTTGTAACGACGTGTACAAAGCGTCATAGAAAAAAATTATAAAGACCAGTCTTATTAAATTTTCTTGCAGGCTGTTACAAATTCGCTTCTCACTACAGGGATCTCGGAAACGGTAAGAGATACGAAGTAGCTTAAATGGGGGCAAAGTTGCATAATCAAGAGACCAACATTATGCCTTTAAAAAATCAAGGCTAATATGATTAGTTTGCGAAATATTCGAAAAAAAACGAAATTTTGGAAATCCGATTTTGTTTCAATTCAGCCTTGTTTGAGATAATATTGAAAAAAGAAGAACACTTTCTCATGGCAACTTTTTGCCCTCTGTCGAATGGCATAATCAATTTTTATATGTAACTTTTCGTCTCTCCACGACCATCATCAACTTCGTTTGTTTTAAATACGACCTTGGAAATTTTATTACATTTTTGCAAACCTTCATGAGCCTCAATACTGTACTGCCTCAGCCCAAACCAGCTTCAGACGTTTTGTATCGAAAAATTCATCTTCAGTGTATTCGTTCCAAATTTATCTAAATTTTTTATTTAGATTTCTATGTTTATCCAATTATCGTATACTCTAAGTGTCATTAGACCCTGTGAAATCCACCGAGTTATTACCATCACAAGTTACAATAAAACATTATTAGAGTTTTAATCTTCATACATAATTTGATGAGTTGTTGCGTCAAAATTAAACCATTATTACAATTTTAATTATATTATGGCAAATTAATTCTTAAAAATGTATATGAACAACCAAAACTCCAAAAACGTTTTGGTTTTGACAAATGTTGAAAATGAAGATGAGCATAAATATGATCGGAATTTATTATAGCTGTAACAGCAACTGTGAAAGAGCATGTCAGATGTATTTATATGAAAATCTTGAAAAAAATTAGATCGAAATTTGTTTGAATTTTGGGAGCTCGATAAACCTAGAATTAACTAAGAGCATTGGGTTAAAACTTTGACAGTTTGTAACTCCGTTGTTTTTCAACGAATCTTGACGATTTTTTTTAACTTAAAGCTCTTTTCATAAGCTTTTGAATATGTAATAATATATACCCATATTACGCGCGTGCGTCGTATATTTCATTTTGCAACCAAGGCTAAAAAATAATAGTATATTACGTAATAAGTGTTGTAAAATGCATTTTACGCACGAATGGGTAAGTTACGCACGACGCCGCGTAGCGGCGAGCGCGTAATTCTATGAGTGCGTAATTGCATTACACCACGTATTACGTACTATACTTTCCTACGACCACTACTGTAAATACTTAAAAACACACCGTCTGCGATCAATTTAAGATTACTATTACGTACGGTAAAAAAATCGTACAGTTTTCTTAGCAACCGCCTAGCAACGGTCAATACAAACAGTATTGTATTCACCATTGCTAGGCAGTTGCTAGGAAAACTGTTCGATTTTTTTACCAAGCTGTGCGATTTTTTTACCGTACGTAATAGGAATCTTACATTGATCGCAGTCGCAGACGGTGTGTTTTTAGGTATTTAGAGTAGTAGTCGTAGGTAAAAAAACATTCCAGGTTGCAAATTTTAAATTAAAAAAAAATGATTAGATTTCAATGTATTATTATGAAATCCACCATGAAAAAAATCAGTGCGATTGTGGAAGATGCTCGGGATCGTCCAGACTAATAATTAGTTAATTTGTTTATAAGGCCATAACTTGTAAACTATTCAACTTACCGATTCCAGAGTTCGTGTGAGTTATTAGTCAGTGATAAGGAATGAGAGGATGCGATGCCAAAACGTTCTGGTAATAATAACGCAGTTTATAAATGTTTAATTCAAAAGTCATAAATAAACTTCTTTTTATAACTGTTGATCTAATCAATATTTTTTGGTTCTCGATGACTAGTTTTGTAGGTCTTTTGAAGACGAAAAAAAAAAGTATTTTACTGTTTTCTCGTGGAAATGAACGAAAAAAAGTTATAATCGAAAAACGTGAAATTACGTAAAAATTATACAATTAACCACCCTGTAAACAATCTTCCCCCAATTTTTATGACTGTGGGAACTAATATGTTACTGTACATAATATTTAGCATCTATAGTGATAAATTCAGCTTGCCGAAACAAAAAATCGCTTCCAACTATTGGCTTAAGAAATTTTAACCACTTACGAAGGTATTCTATTTGAAACAACTTGTATTATCAATAGAGCTTTCATTGTTAGTTCAAAAATCGAAAACATTGTGATATATCTTTTTAAACGCTTTACAAAATAAATTGCATATTATTCCTATTATTTTCAAAGTTTCCGGACCCATAGAAAAGGCATTGCTAATTTTGGAATTCTGACTTGAAGGCATTGGCATTTGCATTATACCAAGAATAAAATAATCTCACAAGTGGTTCAGACCTTTATCTAACTAAAATAAGTTTAATTGATTAATACAGAAAAACTACACTTGTACGAGTATATAGTTTTCCATATTTTTTACTGTTTTTATTTTACAAACAAAATAAAAGTTCAAGGTTTTTTAAAAAATCGCTTGAGTACGCTACTGATAAATTTACAATTTACTTGATATTCAGCCATATCCCAACCTTTAACTGCATCTAAACATTGAAAGATGTATAAAGAAGTTTTCCTATATCGACCTATGAATTATTAGAGATTTTCTAGTACTTAAATTTTCGTGAATAAACTAGACTGGAATATTTATAGATCCAGCATATGGAATTATTCAAATTGGTTCGCTGTAACCTCTAACCGAGCCCGGAGAAAGCCTTGATTGCCGAGAAGGATACCGGCTGGCTGTGTGAAGGTTGCGGGTTCAATCCACGCCGCCAGCTGGTTTTTATTTATTTATGTAGATTTTACGTTAATTTCGGTTAAAAATAGGTGACAAGGAACTACGGCGGCCCACGCAACGAAACAATCACCGATTTCAGTGATTTTACTACTGAAATAACAAACAACATTTAATTATAAAACGTAACCAGGGGCGTATCCGACGGGCCACAGAGCGCTCTGACTCCCCTCACTAAATTTTCTCCTAGAATGTGATATACAGGGTCGACAATTTCGTTAAAATTTCAGTTGACAAAGTGAGTCGTTTTTGTCACCTACTAAAATGTATTTTCAGTTTTTAAAGTAAAATACATGTAGATTCATTTAAAAAAATTGAGAAAATTATGTGCTCGAGTTTTGGCTCCTATATTCAACTATTGCAATAATAAAAAAATAGCACTTTCTCGTAAAACTGTACCAATATCAAAAAGTTATACCTGCAAAAAATTATTGCTAAGTTGTTTTGTTTAGGGTATACAGGACGCTGAAATGAGAATGATTCTCGTATACAATTGACCATAACTTTTGAAATACCCTAACATAATTAAACCCTATATTGGAAGCATGGGAAAGAAGAACTATCTAAATTTGAAATAATATATAGGGTGTCCCATTTAAAAAATAGTATGTTTGGGTTCACCCTGGTAATACGTAACACCCTCTATATACGAAAATAATTTTAAAATGTGCAGTTTTAAGTTGGCTACAATTTTTGTAATTAACTTTTTTGATATCTTCTATAATAAAGGAGATATATCGTACTTCGACGCACTAATGCCGCACCCTGTATATTTTATTATTTGCAATTTTCTGTACTATTTTAGGAAACCCAGGAGACACCGCTTTGAAGTGTGAAACATGTAAGCAATGTCGCAGTATGTAAATTTACAGTGTAAGGAGTTCTCCAATTTGAGATTTTATTTGCCGTCACTAGACGTCGACAATGGCACCATCGATGTGTCAACGCACTTATACAAGTAAGTACTAGTTAGTAAAAAGGTTTAAAATGTCAACAAATATGCAAAAAATAGCTTGTTTGGTATAAATATTTAATTTCACTTCAAGTAATATAAAAAAATTGATGTTTTATAAAAAAATATGTTCAAGGTAAATTATATACATTGTATACTAACATTACACTTAAACAATTTTCTAAATAGGAAATTATTGTAAATATAATACATAAAATGATTATCCCGCTTCTGATGCAATTTATGTCTACAGTTTAGAAAGTCAAATAGTGCTTATCGTTTCTAATGTCCTCAACGTTTCAAAAGAGTGAAACAAAACTATAAATTTCATCTTTGGCCATTTGTTTTATAGTAACTAAGCAACTGCATCTATTGAAATAATATGATTATCCTGTGTCTACAGTTCAGTTAGTTATTTTGTGACAATAAAAATGGACTTTTTCCGCTACTCTATTGCTTCAATTCAGTTAATTACTTGTTCTCAAAATTCTAAAATAGCGAAAAAATAAGAAAGTCATATTTCTAGGTAACTACAAGCAGATGCGTATGTTAAATAAATGTGAAAATGATTATCCCGCTTCTGATTACAACCTATGTTTCCAATTCAGTTAGTTAAATTGAGTATAAAAATGATTACATTCTTCCGCTTACACTGCTTCAAATGTTTTCAGGGTTCCAAAATAGAAAAAATAATTTCACCGTTTCCAAGTAAATACATCTGTTGAATGTATATGATAATGATTTAATCTACTTCTAAATCAACCTAGGTCTACTATTCGGGTAGCTGAATTGTTGAGTTTCTGCCCCTACGCCACTACATCAAAAAAATTCTCTCAGCTTTCCAAAGTAACGAAAAAAGTAGACTTTATCTTTGTTAATTTTTTTAAAATGAATGAATATGAAAATAATTATCCCACTTTTGATCGCGACATTGCGACTTATGTGAATATACGTTCTTCCACTACTCCACTATATCAAATATTTCCAGCTTCCCAAAACAGTGGAAATGAATCAAAATTTCATCTTTCGCCATAGTTTCGAAATAACTACAAGCAGTTACATTATTGAATAACTATTAAAATGATGATCCCACTTCTGATTGTAACCTATGTGACTATTCAGTTAGTTAAATTGTATGAACATTATGACTTTCTCCCACTACTTAGAAATCATCTCTCAGAGTTAGAAAACAGCAAGAAATTTCATGTTTATGACTATAATGTTCCTCTTAAAATGCGTTTACGGATCCAAAATAGCGAAAAAACCCAAATTTTATCTGTGATCATCGTTTCGAAGTAATTGCATGTGTTGTATGGATATGAAAATAATTACCCCACTTCTGAATGCAACCATTCGTGTAGTTAAATTGTTGAGTATAAAAAATGGTACTTCCTTACGCCGCGCCGCTACTTCGGTTATCGTTTTAAAGTAGCTGTTGTTTAACTGCATAGTGTTGAATAAATATAAAAATGATTATCCCACTTCTGATTGTAACGTTGCAATTTATGTGAGTATAAAACTATGACTTCCGCAAGCCCACTGCGTCAAATACTTTCAGTTTCTCAAAATAGCGGAAAATATTCATAATTTCATCTAACCACCGTTTCAAAGTAGCTACAAACAACGACATGTACTGAAAAACGATTATCCCACTTCTGATTGCATGTTAGGTCTACAATCTGGTTAATTAAATTGTAGACGTAGTGCCTATGAAAACTACTGCTTTCTTCTGCTGTGCCATAACTTAAAATTCCAAAATATCAAAAAAACACAGTGGCGGCTCTTGACTTTTTTACCAGGGAGGGTGAAAAAATCTAGGTACAAAGTATTGAAAAAAAATCAAATATAATTGGGTAGTTTGAGTAGTTAAGTATTATTGAGATATAGGATAAAAATATGCTCAACATTATTTTTTATAGTGAAAGCCCATTCTTCTCCTTTTGTCCGAAATAAATTTTTCAATTACTTTTTTATTAAAGTTTGGTATTTCTCGCACCATTGATTTTTCAATAGATAGCATTGTAAGTGTTGTTAGTCTGTCTTTACAATTTGATTTAAACTTTTACAATCTTTCATAAAACACGCAAGAAGCAGTTCCTAGGTACCATATCTTACACTACACGTAAACTAATTACATTTGATAATAGAAAATCGGTAAATATTATTATTTACTATACTATTATTTGGTTATGCATGGACTAAATAGATACCCAAATTTCATAGTAAATATACGTTACTCCCACTCCATCTTGCACTGCTGCGCTACGGTAACCATAACCACCACTGTAAACACTTTCCAGATTTAGGGGCGAGCCCACGTTTTTCAAACGAACTTTGCAAGTCGAGTTAGATTCACGGCACATTACAAATTTAACATTTCCCTTTTAATGTGTTTCATAGGGCTAATCGCTAATCCATTTAATTATGTAAATAACATTATACACTCAAGAGTCCCCAGAACCCCCCGCACCAGCCGGCACTACAAAAAATCAAATTTTCGCATTTGGCCATTCGTTTGGAAGTAACTATAAGCAAATGCGTCTATTGAACGAATATGAAAATTAATATCCCACTTCTGATTGCAGCCTAAGCCTTATAATTCATTAAGATATATATTGTGAGCATGAAAACTACGACTTTCTTCCGCTATATCACTGCTGAAAGCGTCCTCAGCGCTTCAAAGCAACGAAATAAGATAAAATCAAATTTTCATCTTTAAAACCATTCTTTGCGAGCTAACTACAAACGATTATACTTGAGGAATACCATTCTGCCTTCGGAATAAGAAGTTGCAAGCTGCAAGAAACAGGGATTAGACAATGGCTTTCATTGTACTCCATCCTGTACTTAATTTTTTTCCGCCGTAACCTCGTCTAGAGCGAAAATGATCGATCACAATGCCCGCAAAATCGGCCGAGCGTCTCCTTTGTTGCGACGGCCCTCCCTCTCCCTCCCTCACCCTGTTCTTCCCGACCTCGTCCATCAATTAAAGATTTTGCACGTCCTTAAACTGTATCTCCTCGCGACATGTTGTTCTGCAAATGCAACAAGAAGTCGCCGAGCAATTATATGAAAAAATGTCCGCGCCGACCAAGAGGCCGATCGGACGGAACAGGTTCCTCCGCGGCCCCGGCATTACTTGCACGTCTCCGGGACGAAGACGGCCTGCGCGAAGCGTTACGGGCCGATCGTCAGTGGCGCCTCGTGATCCCATGCCGACAACTAGAAAAATTCGTAAAATAAAATTTGTAGTCCGATATGGACGATAATAGTTAATTATGTTATAAGGATCGTAACTAACCCTGAATTTTACTCGGCTGCGAACACGCACAGTGGACGAAAACGCTCAACATTCCATGCGAGGTAGTAAAAGCTGTCCAAATTGGGATATTTTCTTTTTTAAATACTCGTTATTATAGGCCAGGAAATATAGAGTTGGACTCGACTTTTTGTTCCGGCAAGCTGAATTTATCACTATAGATGCTACATATTATGTACAATAACATATTAGTTTCCACAGTCATAAAAATGGGGGGAAGATTGTTTACAGGGTGGTTAATTGAATAATTTTTACGTAAATTCACGTTTTTCGCTTATAACTTTTTTCCGTTTATTTCCACGAGAAAACAGTAAAGTATTTTTTTCATCTTCAAAAGACCTATAGTCTGTTTAGAAATGAAAGAGAGTAATAAAAGCTTATTATGTATGCAAATCGTAAATAAATGTAGTACTGGTGCTTATATTCAATATTTTTATATTATGTATTATCGGTACCTATAGGATGAGGTGTACTTTTAAAAAAACTTTGTGCGATCGGACTGTACTAAATTGTAGCAGGTAGCTAAAATTTAATCCCCGACAATCCGTCTTTGTCTATGCCGCTTCAATTTCTCGGTCCATTTCTCTTATAAGTAAACAATATAAAAACAGCATTTCAAAACATGAGGCTACTTTAAGCATCATAACCGGGTTAAGAGGGTTTTTAGTAATTCAAATAAAATTATTCAATATTATTATCAAAATATTTATTTAAATTTAATGAATAGACTTTTATTCCACACAAAAATATATGTATTTTGAAAATTCAAATTATGGTGAGTAAATGTAGTGTTGTATAAATGTACAATAAAGAAAATAAAAAAGTAGGTATATTAAAATTCATCCTCTGAATATTCTGATGAATTATCTTCGTCTCCTAGATTGATAACGATAGGTTCCACAGTAACGTCAATTAAATTATCGAGTTCCCACATTTTCTCCTCTTCTTTTTGTACATGATGTATACATCTTTGCCAGTTATCTGCAGTTACTCGTTCCAAGGAATTTTTTAACAAAATTTTCACGTCACTTAATTTAAACGTC